ATATCTTAGATTATTGATAGTAGTTAAGTTGTACCAGTTCTGGCTCACTGAGTCAGAAGTTATTAAGTTGTACCAGTTCTGGCTCACTGAGTCAGAAGTTGTTAAGTTACCAGTTCTGACTCAGTGAGCCAGAACTGGTACAACTTAACTACTACTGAGTCAGAAGTGGGACAACGTTCGTCGACTCACGATCCTAAAAAAAAAGAAAAAAAAGGTGTTGGCATCCGTTTTTGCGTAGGATGCACGGTTCCGGAGATGTGTAGATCAATTTACGAATATCTGATTGATATCCGGTGAGGGCCTCCACCGTCATTAGCGTCCCATTGTTTTCATCTATTTATCTATTGTTCATTGACCACCGTCATTGTCTATTCCTCCTCGGCGTGTGCGTTGACTTATCAGTGCTATTGTATTATACTTCTTTCTTACTATCTACAACACTAATCTGAATCATCAATAAAACACATTACCTACTTTTGTTACAATTTTTATTTACAAAATACGAAATCTTATTACTTATTATCTACAAAATAGGAGCGAAACATCTCATCCACTAAAATGTCGTTATACAATGTGTTCCCTGTAAATATACTCGTAAAACTGTGCATTGAACATCCCTGAAACTTATATAGCAGATACATTAAGCAATATTCGCCACAAACTGAAGTCCACTCATTCTAGTTGAATTCTTGGATTCATCCTATCAACATTCCAGTTCCATCTTTTACAATTCCTTTTTAAAAAATCTAGATGATATCGTACAGGTGATCGTCCATATGAGTCAAAATATTGACCGACTTCATTCGTATCGATATATAAAGCTACCCAATGTGACCCCGGTTTATCATCTGTATCCAAATTGCATATTATATACGTTGGTACGTGGGTTTACATGGGCAGTCTATTAGCAGCATAAACGTTATTTTCTAGACTGGGGTGAATCTTTTTCAGATGTTGTTGCACATCTAGTGTATCAATGATATTACTGCTATTAGTAGATTATTACAGTACCAATCTACTCAATGAATAACATAGGAATGATCAATTATAGTGATTTCTAAATATTACATTGCATTCTTTTGTGTTATACAAATCGTATTTGAGTCATCGATACACTAACGAGACGCAACACGAAGGAATGTTGAAATAGGCAACAGAATGTGAGATAAGCTCACACAGCGGCCGAGCCAATATTTTTCGGGAAAACGTCTCCGAGTGCCGGGACAAACTTGTGTCTGAAGTCGAGTCTTTGCTGAACAGAGTCTCGGATTGGGGGCGACTAAATCTAGTCCAGTTTAACCCCCAGAAGACACAAGTTTGCGCGTTAACCGCTAAAAAGAACCCCTTTGTCGTATCTCCTCAGTTTCAAGGCACTCCCCCTTGTTGCCTCAGCTAGTATCGGAATCCTCGGCGTTGACATATCGAGTGACGTGGCTCTCTGGGCTGAGGCTTCCCAGTACCAGCTCCTTCCACTTGACCGCATCCAGTGCAGAGCGGCTCGAATCGTCGACGACCGAGTGCTTTCCGATCGGCTCGATTCACTGGCACTGCGAAGAGATGTTGCATCTCCTTGCATTTTATTTCGCATATACCATGGAGAGTGCTCTGAGGAATTGTTCGGATTAATCCCAGCCGCCAAATTTCGTAAACGCACTACGCGGCAAACGTCCCGATCCATCACACCATCTGGATGTTGGCGGTCCACTACAGTACGTTTCAAAAGGAGTTTTCTTCCGCGTACAACCTCTCTGTGGAATAGTTTACCACCGGCGATTTTTCCGGACCGATACGACCTGGGGACCTTCAAGAAAAGAGCTTACTCCTTTCTAAAGGGCCGGCAACGCACCTGCAATTCCCCTGGCGTTGCGGTTGATCATGGGCGGCGGTAGTCACTTAACATCAGGTGAGCCGCATGCTCGTTTGCCCCCTCTTCTATAAAAAAAAAGCTTGTTGACGCATAAAGTTAGTCCCACTGCAGAAATTCTTTAGATTAGAATTATTACTTACTGGTGCTATATAAAACCAGGGCGCTGCAGTCATGGAGTTAGTGTATGGTCGTTTGACCGCAGTGGATCTATCAATACTACATTTGTGTTACTTCAACGCATTAAAGGCCATGGATGTAAGTGTTTATTCTATTGACAAACTTACTTTTCTTTCTGTTATTTTCTTACGTGTGTATGATTTAGTGTTAACAAATTATATTTAAATATTGTGTGTGTATATGATTAAACCGTGGTAGCTCAGATGGTTAGCGCAAGCTGTAAATTTCACAGTACGCAACGCGAGTTCGATCCCCGCCGGCACTTAATTGCAATTTAAGTGCTGATTTACCACGTGCTCGGCGATGAAGGAAAACATCGTGAGGAAACCTGCATGTCTGAGAAAATATTAAAGGCATGTGAAGTTCGCCAACACGCATTGAGGCAGCGCGGCGGACATTTCCTAGCCCTAAATACAAAGACAATAGCAGAAAGTGAAAAAATTAAAAAATACTTTTTTTAACAATGACAGTCATTAGTTGATCATTAGTGAATGTGATTTTGTTTACTTAAATTACAGGAAAACAAGAGCAGAAGGAAGAGGTGGGATGATGGGAAATAATGAAGCATTATTATGTGAAGTTTGTTGGAACAAACAACGTGTAAATACTTTTAACTTTTTGGTTCAAAATGACACAAAATCTAAAAAAATATTAGATACATCATCGACATGGACGGATTTTACATTACATATCCTCATAAACATTTTCAATGTAGAGAAATGGCTATTCTAGACGTAAAACTATCTAATAAAAATTATGCGTTTATCGATCATTATTTGTTTCGGCCAAGTTATCCTTTCAATTATTTGTCGCCAAAAGACAAAAAAAAACTGTTCGTTATTGCGAAACACACGTGCACGGCATTCCATATTTTGACGTGACCGAAGAATTAAAATGTGCCTACAAACAAGAGAACATCATTCCCATATTAAATTGGTATATTAGAAATTTGTGCAAAGACGAAGTGATCGCATACAAAGGTGGTTCAGCAGAAAAACAATTTTTAAAAATTTTGACGACGAATGATAGAATTTTTAATATTGTAGAATACAAATGTCCAAAATACAATGATTTGGTAAATGTCATAATTTTAAACAAACGTTATGTATGTAATAATCATATATTTGCAAAAAACAATCACAAAATTTTACATTGTTCTTGTGACGAAGTGTGGGTTTTTAATTACTAGTATAGGGAGAGTCCTAATTTCTTATAGCTGAACTCTTTATACATATGACGTTTGACATGGTACATAATAAGATAGCTGTTTTATTCTCACCTTCTTTCATAAAAGGTTGTTGCCATTTTTCCTTTCCACCTCTATTGATCCGTCAACTTATCCTTATATGGGTTTCTCAGTGAGCTCACGGAACTTATAAAGAGGGCACTGCTACCTTCTTCCTTCACTTTTGTCGCTAGATCACAACTACCAATAACTGGATTACGAACGTATTACCTGTTTTCCTCTCCGCTCCCTCGAGATATTTTTGTTTTTTATTTTATAGGATAAGGGTGACAAACAAGCACGCAGTTTATAGTGTTTAGTGGTTACTGTGGCCCATAGACGTGGACTAAGATGGACTGCCTCGTTTCCAGAAAAAGGGTCTCCGGTTTTCTACACTCACCATACGAAACACCGCACCGTTAAGCTGCTATTTTACGCTGGTTTTCTGTGAGAGCGTGGTCCTTCAACAGGCGAGTCGACCCATTATTGCTACAACTATAATAAAGCTGCAGCGTGGCTCTACCACTTTTTTCATCATTAATACATTAATTTCAGCTTATCAAAGTCCACTGCTGAACGTAAGGGGAATATTTACGATAGTTTCCTCTCTTAGCAAGTGGTTTAGCAACCACATTTTTTATTATTATGAGTTTTTATCGGGAATGTCCTGTTGCCTATATCCAGTTTCATTTACCCATGTATAGTATAATATATAGTAGGAGGTAGTGGTAACTTCATGATTTCGAAATATTTTCATCCAAGCAGGTAAAGCTTTGTTGAATTTGAATATAGTTTATGGTTTTCCGCTAAGCAAGTGTTGAATCTATAAAAATTAAAATAAACTGCCGCATGTATCTTCTCTTTCAGATCGTTACTTGAGAACTGCTTGACCGATTTTGATGAACACTCACACTCACAAATGAACCCGGTAAGTAGCACTGCTGTCGAGATCTTGAAAACAGTCGTGCGAAGCCGGGAGACTCAGGGAGGCGGGAGGTCAGCATATAAAACTGGGATTACAAATGGCATCCAACTCGCTTATGTACTGAAAGTCTGTCAAGACTTAATATTCATACCTATCTAACTATTAGTTTTAAAGTTTACGAAACGAACATTTGCAATGTAATACAAAATTTATCATTTAGAAAACAATTAAATTCTTTGGCCGAAGTAGCTGCCAGCTCTTCGGTCTCCTGTGACGTCGATTGACCTTTTTGCTATTTCCTTAAAAAGGCTTATAGCGCTAGGACCCCACGGACCAAGGGTCTTGACACCGAATGGGACAAAAATATATTCGGATTTCTTAGTAAAGAATAGAATAATTACCCAACGCTGAAAACATACAGAGGAAGCAAAATATTATGAATCAGCAACAAAACCTAACTGGTCCTAACCTCCTGGGCCTTCTCGACCAGCAACAATTCCCTCAGCCTGACCTCGCTCTACACAGCCATCTACTCACCAACATTCAACCAGCGGGCGGTGTGACGTCAACGCGATTACCCCCTCACTAGCAGCCGCAGAGGTACTACAGTCCATGTTGGCCACAGCAAACGACTTTATAGTTCAACAGCAAGCAACAACAAAACTCTACGCAACTGAGTGGGCAGGCTATTGGTGTTGGCTTTGGACTGGGGTCTTGGAGCTCCACTGCAGGGAGGATTGGGTACTCCTCTGCTACAGCATCGAAATATGGTGCTCGCCGCACAGAACCTTGCTCTCAAATAATTCTTAGTAGTTTAATTTCTGAGGTAATTCATTACCAAAGTGTTTCGTTAGACTTGTCAAAGCAAGAGTAGCTCCTCTTCTCTGACTTCTCAAAATTTTTCGTGCCTCGTCCTCGTGCGGGAAGAGCGAGTCGAGCACGAGGTTGTGGTGCGCGTGCGCGACGTGCGCCGCCACGGGCGCACGGCCGCGCCGCGGCTCCACGCGCTCTGAGCTGCACTGCTGCTCGCGCAGCGTCAGGATGCTCTTGTGCTTATCCAGCATTGGATATTGGGACTGAACCTCCTTTTTACTCTCTGAGCTGCTATCCCCACAGCCAGTCTACTTCTTCTGCATCCTCTAATTACACACGCGGTGTATATTCCAGGTCGCATCTGAGAAACGCTTTAATTCGAACGATCAAGTAAATTTAACAATTTACTTCAAGTAAATTTAACAATTTACTTGATCGTTCGAATAACAATACGTCTAGTCTATTGAAATAATACTAGTTTTTACGGAATTTATCGCGTATATTTAACTTTTTAAATACCCGACGTTTCGAACGCTTTACAGCACTCATGGTCACGGGCGGGACTGAGATGTTCAACGTCCATATGTCATAGTTAACCACGGTTACCATAGATTAAAATTTAACTTTTGTTCCGATCTATACAGTATGAACTTATGGTATCTTGAAGTCTTGCAGTTGTATGCTTGGGTTGGGATTTAATTTTATTTATTATAGGATCCCAAGCAGATGGTAGCACCCAGCCATCTTCTCTATTGAAATTAGGATGTTTTTTGATTTCAATAGCCTCGCGAATCATCCTTGGAAGGAATCGGTGTTCTTTAGCGAGGATTTTCGGTCTATCAAATCTGATGTAGTGACGGGGGCGATCCTGTACGTGTTCACAGACTGCAGACTTCCCAGAGCGTCGATTCTTCACATCAGCTATATGTTCTTTAACGCGGGTTTTTATTGATCTTTTAGTTTGTCCTATGTAGGAGAGACCACATTCACAATCAAGCTTGTACACTCCTGGATCCTGCAGAGGGACATTACACTTGACTGTGTTTCAATCTTCTTCAGCTTGAAGTTGAAGCAGCTTGAGCAGCTTCAAGTTGAATCTTCTTCAGCGGCTTGAAGTATGTTTTGATGGAAGCTCGCTTCAAGATGTAGCCAATCTTGTCAGTGACTCCTCTAACATATGGCAGTACAGCAGGTACACGCTCGACTGTGGCCGGCTTCACTCGTTCGCTGTGACGTAGGCGCGGGACTCGAAGCTTGTTGTCATGCAAAACTTGCTTGACAATGGTGGAGCTCGGCAGCCAGGTGTTTACTGTCACAGATCCCTCGTGCTCTCTGAAACAAAGATTTACCCACGGTAGCTAACTGTGAAGGATGGTGGTGAGAATCACCGTTTAAATATCTATCTGTATGGGTCTTTTTTCTATACACAGTATGGCTCAAAGTGTATCAGGTCTCTCCTACATAGGACAAACTAAAAGATCAATAAAAACCCACGTTAAAGAACATATAGCTGATGTGAAGAATCGACGCTCTGGGAAGTCTGCAGTCTGTGAACACGTACAGGATCGCCCCCGTCACTACATCAGATTTGATAGACCGAAAATCCTCGCTAAAGAACACCGATTCCTTCCAAGGATGATTCGCGAGGCTATTGAAATCAATCTAATTAATAGAGAGATGGCTGGTGCTTCTCTTGGGATCTATATTTCCAAGATGAATCAGATACCTAAGTTCATACTGTATAGAAGTTATTTAATTGTAGTTAACTATGAATATGGACGTTGAACATATGAGTGCTGTAAAGCGTTCGAAACGTCGGGTATTAAAAAGTTAAATATACGCGATAAATTCCGTAAAAACTAGTATTATTTCAATGTGTAGTGTTCGCGTAAATATAAAAAATCATTACGTCTGGTCTAGTCCTATTTTCTTTACACTTTTAGACATATAACGAAGTAATAACTAAACATTAACGAGTACCTATATTGATGTCGATTGTTGCTAACATTGCGAACGAAATCACTATAGATTATAGACGTCATGTCTAAAATAGTAAAGTAACATCACAAATAATACTACTACAATAGGGATGTCATTTTGCCAGTAAATCAGAAGATGCGAGTGTACTTACTCTCATATTTGACATAGTATAAAGAGATGTCATTTTGCCAGTAAATCAGAAGATGCGAGTGTACTAACTCTCATATTTGACATAGTATAAAGAGACCAAAGATGACCATATGACATTTCTAATTACACGCATGAATTATACGCAACATCTGTCAAAATTTACGTGTTTCTATTAACATTTAATATATTTGTTATCTGTTTTATTTTTGCTCAGACTAAGATTATACTGCAGTTATATTATTATGCTGTGTACAATTTTTTGGATTGTAGTTTAGATCAACACAAATATACTTTTAATTGTAGACCTTTACATAACTACTGTCTGTTTGCGTACCTTATTCTATATATAAAAAAATAAACACTCACGCCTGTCACCCAGAGGGGTAGGCAGAAACTACGGACTTCCATTTGGCACGATCCTGACATACCTCTTTCGCTTCCTTTACATCCATATACTCGTATCTACGCATACATGCCCCTCGGTTAAGGGTACTTCTAACGTGGCCCATTTTCAAAATATCCCCAATTTGGTCGATAAACTTTTTTCTAGGGCATCCCTTCCCGACTCTGCCGTTCACATCTGCCATATAAATTTGCTTTGTTACTCTTTCCTCATTCATTCTTTCTAGATGACCAAACAACCGAAGCATTCCTTTCTTAATTCTGGTCACAACATCATCTTGCATACCACATTTATCTCATATTTATTAAAATATTATATAGTATTATACATATAAAAATATATTATACATATACAAAATAAATATTACGCCGCGGCGCGGCCGCGCACCACAACCTCGCGCTCGACTCGCTCTTCCCGCACGAGGACGAGGCACGAAAAATAAATATTACTTATTCAATAAAATAAAATAAAAAATTTCTTAATTAAATTATTTAAATCGTACTTTTAACAGTAAAGGTTTAGTAGGTCTTAAAGGATTTTGTATAAAAATAAATAGGTCTAAATATTGGCGCAATTTGAAGGTACCTCATCCCACACGTCTCCAGACATACGAGTATATCGTTTGCTGTTTGACGAAAGGAATATATGAAGGTGTAGTGTCCTCACCTTTTAGTAAAAGGTTTCTAAAGTTTTTATGGTAATATTTTGTAAATTTAGGAAATAATAGTTGAAAATATTTTATACTTCAATTTTTGAAACAGTTCTAATTTTCATATTTTTTCAACAGTTTTAATTTTTGAAACAAGCCAGTTTTTTAGAATGATTTCCTTCACCACCTAGCACATTGTTTATAAATATATTGCACTTTTATAAAACTGTACCTGTAACCTACATATAAAAAATAGAAACTTATACATTTCAAAGACCTTAGAATGTAAAATTGACATGTGAGATAATTTCATTGCATTTATTAATACAACAACTGTAACTTTCTTTTAAAACTCAAGGCATATTTATTTATATAACAATAAATACTTTTATTCACTTTCAGATAAAGGCATCCTTCCTGAGGAATGTAAGGAGACTGCAGATTTTCTTTTTTTTTATGGAGAATATGCATGTCGAAATTAGCTTCACAGCCCAATAGATTTATAACTAAGGACATTATCTGAAATGCAGGATATATGTAATTATGTATTAAAAAAATATATAGAAAAACCTTTACTGAAGGAATATACGAGGGTGGATTGAAAAGTACTCGGCCTAACACAGATCCATTCAATTCTAAAAATCAATTCTTCCCACATTATTTAGTTCAGTTCAGACTAGTTCATTGTGTGAAGTTCGAAACGTGTGCGATAATTAGTTCTGATTTTGTAAATTTATTAACAAAGTAATCGGACATAATTTCCGCGAATGGAGCAAATCGAGCAGCGTGCCGTCATTAAGTACCTCCATAAGAAGGGGCTATCATCAAAAGCCATCCATGATGACATGGTCAGAACATTAGGCGATTGTGCTCTGTCATATTCATCCGTCAAAAAATGGATAGCAGAATTTAAGCGTGGTAAAGAGAGTGTGAAAGATGAACCCCGCTCTGGAAGGCCTTCGACGTCAACTACTGACGAAAATATTAAAAAAGTACTTGATTTAACAATGGGAGACCGCAGATTAAAAATTAGAGAGATAGCCGAGATTATAGGCATCTCTTATGAACGAACTCAAAACATCATTGTCAACGAGTTGGGTTTCCACAAGGTGTCTGCGAGGTGGGTTCCGCGACTGCTTTCAGTTGAACAAAAAAGGACGCGATTTACTATTTCACGCGACTGTTTGGAGTTATTTGAAGCCGATGCAGATGATTTTTTGAATCATTTTGTTACTATGGACAAAACATGGGTTCATTACTGTACACCGGAAACAAAACAACAATCAAAACAGTGGAGAAGACCTGGTTCACCACCCCCTAAAAAAGGCTAAGTCGATTTTGTCGGCAAATAAGGTGATGGCTTCAGTATTCTGGGACTCGAAAGGTGTGATTATGATTGATTATCTTGAAAGGGGTCAGACTATAAACTCTGATTACTACTGCACCTAATTACGTCGTTTACGAGAGGAAATAAAAGAAAAACGTCGAGGAATGCTCAGAAGAAAAGTCCTGTTTCATCAAGATAACGCCCGTGTTCACACGTCAGTACAGTCAATGGCTGAAATTCACAACTGTGGCTTTGAACTGTTACCGCATCCGCCGTATTCACCTGATCTGGCACCATCAGACTTCTTTCTGTTCCCTAACCTAAAAAAGCACTTGGGAGGTCAAAGATTTTCGACAAACGACGAGGTCAAAGCAGCTGTAGACGCATATTTTGACTCTAAGGAAGAATCATTTTTTTTCAACGGTCTAAATGCTTGGAAGGGGAGGTGGCAAAAGTGTATTGAACTTGATGGTGATTATGTAGAAAAATAAAAATATAACTGATTTAGTATGTGTTTATTTTCTTGATTAGGCCGAGTACTTTTCAATCCACCCTCGTACAAAGGTTATAGCATCATGCATTAATAAATTTTAATTACCTTGATGGTCCTCTTCACAGAGTAAAATTGAGAGAATTTTTGATTGACCAAACTATTAATTTTTTCATATACAACTATAGTAAAGATGTAAATAAAATTATTTTTAGCAAAAGGAGCATTGATGATAACAATGATAGTGTACAATTAATGGTCACTCACTCTTGTTGTAAAAAGTATTTTAAAAATAAAAGATAAATATATTAAATGTTTTATTTCTGAGGCCTTATAATTCAGCACTGAATTAACATTGACAGCTAATCTTCTATCTATAACAATATAAGTCCACCAGTACCAATATTAATTAATTCAGCGCAAAAGGTTCAACATCAAAAATAAGTAAATTATCAGCAATTAAAAAAATATTTTCCTTAAATTGTTGCCAATAACAAAATCCATGATGTCCATTTTGGCGTCGGAGATTGGTCTCTTTTCCAGTTTACAAAAAGTACTCTGTGGTTTCTACTAACCACTCAAACGCAAAGCTTCATGCATGTTGCACTAGATGACTCTATATTACAAGACGCGTCTTTTGGTTAGAAAAAGTTTATGCCAGGTAACAAATACGTAGACAGAACAGAGCACTGTCTACGAACAAATACCCATGAAGGTTAGAGAAACCTTCATGCAAATACAATTGAAAAAAAAAAAGAAACAAGCGTTGTGTCAAGTATGGAGTGTAGATAGTAAGCAGTACAGACTGTGTATTAAAAAGTGTCGATAGAAAACCGTAAATAAGGGTGGCGCCACTATGGCTACGGGCTAATTTTAAAGAACATGTCGAAAATATTAGTAGGATAGACGACTTTTTCGAGGTTATATTTACTAAATATTTTAGATTTTAGAGCAACTGAGCAGTTTAGCAGTACACTTCAAACCGTCGACAACTGCTAAATTCATTTCATCCCAGTAGCTACTCCAGCGCTGTTGCGGAGAGACATATACACCACTGTATTACTCCCATAGTATAATAGGATTTTCAACTATTCTACTATGGGAGTTGGTAGGTACTCCTTAATTCTACACTCCATAGTGTCAAGTTTTGTGTAGTGACTAGTGACCAAGTTTTATGAATATATAGTATGTAATGGTGTTTTTATATGTGAATCGACATGCGAAAACTTCGCCTTTGTGTGTCGGTTTTTCGTTAAGTTTTTATATTATATATGATTTATTTTAATGAAATATTTATTTTAAATATCAAAATAATAAATAAAAATTTATAATAAATTGTTATAAAAATAAATTTAAAAATAATAATAGTTTGCCACATTTTATAGCCGCCCGGGAAATCAGACTAAAACGATGTATGTCGATATTTTAGATATTTTTGTATAGAAATACTTAATATTTATACAAGGTTCTAGGTATTATTGGATAGGGTAGATCATGTTTATTAATTATTGTACAGTAAATATATAGAAATAAAATGATTCTACTATATTATCAAAGAAAATAAAAAAATACTGGGGTTTTTCAGCTAAAGTTCTAAAATTAATCATTTTTGTAGCCGTTGCACTTCAATCGAGTAAATTATTATTAACGTAATTAAATTCTGCATTTCATTTGCTTTCTGCGTATTTCTTTCATTCAGATAAAGGTGAAGAACTTTCTCTGTGGTAACCGTTTTTGTCGAACTGGTCGCGATTGGACCGTTAAAAAAGCCGCGATGAGCGGCGCGGTGCTTTAGAGTTTAGAGGCTATTGTCGCTGCTTCGCTCGGACGTCCAAGTGGCTAAATAATAGTGAATGTAAATTGATAGCTGTCGTACTTAATATGTACCCACACCAACCCTATCCTTCTAAGACACAGGGTCTGCTGTGAGAGCAGGGTCTGCTGCTATGTTGTGCATTACAGGTAGTCAGAAAGCTTCGCACCTGTGACGCTGCTAGAGAAACAGACGACTGTTATGAATTATATCTTTCATCATCATCATTACAGCCCTTCACAAGTCCACTGCTGAACATAGACCTCCCCCAAGTAATGCCACAAAGCACGGTCCTGAGCCACCTGCATCCATCGACTTCCTACTTACTGCATATCTTACCAGGTCGTCACTCCATCTAGTGGGGGGTCGCTCTACACTACGCCTACCGGTACGAGGCTGCCACTCGAAAACCTTTCTTCCCCATTGGTAATCGGTTCTTCGAGCTATATGGCCGGCCCATTGCCACTTCAGCTTACTAATCCGTTGTGCTATGTAGGTCCTCTGGTTTCACTGAGGATGCCTCATTTCTGAGTCTATCAGGCAGAGAAACTCCGAGCATAGCCCTCTCTATAGCTTGCTGGATGGCCGGTAGATCTTTACAGTGACTATCGTCACTCGGGCGCATAGGGTATCCATGAATTTACGGACGATGTCGGACAGAATCTTTTTAAATTTTATGAAAGAAAATAACGTTTTTTTTTTAATTCATTGAATTTACGTTCTATAAGTGAAACCAAACCACTGGTTTCAAGGATAACGGTGTTTACACTAACACCATGTATTGTTTTATAAGTATGTATAGATGTACAGATAATAAATAAGACACTGATAGAATCTAATACTATATTACAAGAAGCTTAAACGAAATTCTATCAAAAGCTTAATCGGACAACACGCCTTAACAAAACAATATTATGAAACGATAGTAAACCGAATTATTCCAAAAGTTAACGTTTCTTGTTCTACATTCTCCTATTGCTCGAACGGACTCACAAATATAATCTTAATTCTTTTAGTTAAATAATTCGTATTTTGTCTAAACTAGTTTTAACAGGTAATAAAATAACAATTTTTCCAGTTTATATGTAAAATAATAATGGCGTATAGTTATATCCAATATGAGATATTTGACACGACTGTATCATCGACCTTGCTTATTTCTTCTTTGAATTCTTTCCAGTTCTTTGTACACATGCTTCTTCTTCCGAGCGTTCCCACAGGCGGCGCGAGCTGCTTCGCAAGCAGAATGGGCAGCTTGCTTCGTAGCCGAACACTCGGCGCACGCGCACTGCAGCTTGTGCTGTAAATGCGCTAATCTCGCCCTCGCCTCGGACAAGTTATGGCATTTCTCCTGTAAGCCGAACTTCGTCTTCTCCAAGACGTTGTGCGCTGTTTTCTCGAGTTGAGCGGCGAGTTGGGTCGCTTGCACCATCAACTTGTGCTAACGCAAATATAAATAATTAGAAATTTTTTCGTCATCATTATTACAACGTTGATACATCAACTTCCTGGAAGTGAGAATCACCCTACAATTCGCTTGCTAGTACGAGCTATAGAGTGGGTCTTTGCTCGGAGGTTCTCTACACTAACCATATGAAACGCAGTAGCATAAGGTAGGGACACACTGTGGCGTCATTGTGACTACAGCACATCTAGAATATGTTATGTTCTTTGTGACAGTACCCGTGCACCCACTGGCTTATCCACTAGTAGGTGCAGATGGATTTCCTATTTACCTTTGCGCCCACTGCATTATACTAGAAAATAAAATCATCATCATCATCACCATCATTATAGTCCTTCACAAGTCCACTGCTGGGCCTCCCCCAAGTAATGCCACAAAGCACGATCCTGAGCAACCTACATCCATCGACTTCCTGCATGTCTTACCAGGTCGTCACTCCATCTAGTGGGGGGTCGCCCTATACTACGCCTACCGGTACGAGGCTGCCACTCGAGAACCTTTTTCTCCCCATCGGTTATCGATTCTTCGAGCTATATGGCCGGCCCATCACCACTTCAGCTTACTACCATTGGGATATGTCAGTCACTCTGGTTCTAATGCGGATATCCTCATTTCTGAGTTCATCACGCGGAGAAACCCCGAGCATAGCCCTCTCCATAGCTCGCTGAGCGACCTTGGGCGTCCTCATACGGCCAGCAGTGAAGGACCGAGTCTCAGATCCATAAGTCATCACTGGCAACCACGCACTGGTTGTACAATCTAGTTTTCAGGTTTTGAGGTATTCCTAACGAGAATATGTGTCGTAATTTTCCGAACGCTGCCCAGCCAAATTGAATCCGTCGATCAACCTCTCGGTAGAAGTTGGACTGACCTAGTCGGATTATTTGTTAACGTACTCGTCACCAGCTTCAAGCTCCCTAGGACTCGCAACAACTATGGCATGGTTGCCACCGTAGCCGGGAATAGCGGGCCGCCGAGGACTGGGGGCCGTCTATTTGTGTCGTTGCTCATGAGGGATATATTGCCATAGTTGCCACGCTTGGCGAGCGGGTTTTAAGCCGCAGTTCTTTTATTGTTATTTTGCTGTTATCAGCAAGATACTGCTGCCCATCTTCTGTCTCAGTGTCGCTTTGTTGCCTCTTACGACAACCACGGGAAGATATGGGGTAGTGGATATTCTGACCCGCAAAAAACGGTTAGATCGGAAATAAAATACTAAAATATCTATCAAATATACGTATATCATTATAAGTGGTAGAGGCACGCTGCAGCTATATTATGGTTGTAGCACGAGTTGGTCGGCTCGACCGGGGAAGGACCACGCTCTTACAGCATACCAGCATAAAATAGCAGCTTAATTCCAGCAGTACTATAAGGAGACCCTTATTTACTGGAAACGAGGCATTCCATCTTTAGTCCTCAGGGGTGACTACGCGTTTTTATTCTTAATCGAGTATAAATGTAGATGTGCCACAGCATCCACTTACCATCAGGTGGGCTGTGTGCTCGTTTGTTACCCTTATTCTATAAAAAAAGATCAGCGACAGTATGTTGATGTGCAGCTGAAGTGACTCTTGCACCACTCCGAACCGGCGGACATAATTTATATACCGTTACCGTTACAGAATACCAAAGTCCACTGCTGAACATAGGCCTCCCCCATAGATCGCATCATAGCAGGGATAGCGGGTTGGCAACTGCATATTTTTATTTTTAGTCGTTATTAGAAAGACGCTGCTACCTATCTCCTGATTTGTTTCCCTGTCGCCGCTTACGACACCCACAGGACGTTATTGTAGGGATATTTGTATAATCTCTATATAAGTATAAAAATTAATTGCGTTAGTCTCCCTAAAACTCAAAACTGGCTCAATTCTAATGTTTGTGATGTTTTGTGCAAGATTAGTGGGTCCCTCGATGGCTTAGATTCACAATTGGATCTATGAACATGTCGCTACTAGGATTCCCAATCCTCCCGGATTGCCCGGGAGACTCCGGTAATAATGGTTAATCTCCTGACCTCCCGGGGTGCAATAAAATCTCCGCTTTTTCTAAAAATTATATGCATTCGCCGCTCGCACTCGCTTTGTGAAATCGACAAACATTAGATGTTGCTCGAAAGCAAAGTAAATATACATTTAAAAATTAATAAATGATTGAGCTTCTCTTCCACCCCCCCCCTCCGTACTCGATTACATAGGGTTGGTCCTTTCGAAAGTTGGTAATCCTAGCTGCTACCCATATTGCTTAGTGAGTCCCTCGACGGCTTAGATTCGCAATTGAATCGCCAGTAATTATATAAATTTGGCACAAATCCCTTGCATCCACTGCATTATATATATACAATGCAGTGAGGGTATGGATAAACTAGAATTTCTCTGAATCGACTCAGGGATAAAACTGTTAGATGCATGTGGAGCATGCGGGTGAGGCTTGTCGATTTAACGAGATCGCCGTTTATTTATCAACAATTTGAGAAGACAACACGACAAGATGTCGTCGGTTGCATATGCGACGCTAGCTATACCTCGAATAGAATAAACCGGACCGGTCTAAAAATTCTACCATTCGACACGCTTGGCATGTTTTGTTAAATTCATGTCAACATTATTTTGATTTGCCATATCTAAGCTATCCTCTACTGGACTGTACAATTGGTCATATATTTATGTATTTGACACAATAATTGGCAGTAGTTAAACGTGGTTTTGTAGATATGGACTATATCTTTTTTTATAGGATAGGGTGACAAACTAGTACACAGTCTACCTGACGGTAAGTGGTTGCTGCCACAGACATCTACATCTATCCTCGATTACAAAAAGATTACAAATCAAAATGCAGACGCGTTGTGACCAGTGAGGACTAAGATGGAATGCCTCGTTTCCAGTTAAAAGGGTCTCCGGTTCTCTACACTCGCCATAAGAAACACAGCAGAATTAAGCTACTATTTTACATTATATTTGTCATTATATTGGTCGAGCCGATCCATTCGTGCTACAACTATACTACTAATATAACTGCAGCATGGCTCTACCACGTACAAAATATCTCAAGTGCAGTTAAAGTTTACCTTTGTTAAGATTATGTATATTAATATAAATCAGTTACTACTTATTTAAGCAGTTATCAAGTCAGAAGCAAAAGGTTACAAAAACGGTATAGCTAATTAATTGTATCAGGCGCTTAGAGATTTATAGAAAATTCCTAAAAATCTTTGTCTCTCTCTCTCTCTCTCTCTCTCTTTCTCTCTCTATCTCTCTATAATGAGCATAGGATTGACAAATCAACAAACTATCCACCTGACGGTAAGTGGCTACTGTCCATGAATACCTGCATCTAACTCCCAATGAAGATAGCGTTGTCATGATTACTGAAAATGTGTAATACTTGTAATTATAATGTCCTCCCGACCGTTTATTTATAAAGATTGTAAAATGACGTTTTAGTTTGTTTATGTAGATGAAATTTAGTAATTGATTTTATTATAAAAACTTTTGAATATTTGCATGCTGTTGAAAACAGCTAAATAGGTTTTCTTAACACATAACAGTATAACATCAATAAGAAAACATTTTGTACCTATTTAGTTGCAAATAAAGAATTTGATTTGATTTGATTTTGACTTTCGGTCACGGCGGCCTGCCTCAACGGAGACTAGCCATCGGCGCAGGACAGGATTATAGTACCCAAGTGTATGCGCAAGCACAGGTGCACTCTCTATCCCCTAACTCTCATAATCCGATGGGACGGTAAACCGACACGACCGGAGAGAGATCAGGCGCAGGACCTACGGCTTTACGTACTTTCCGAGCAGCAGCGGGTCTACTGCTCCTGAACTTCTAAAAGGTAAGAATAATATTAACCGACACGGACTTCTGGACAAAAACAGAAACCGCTCAATTGGGGAGATTGATTCGCAGCATGCAGTGTTCAGTTTGTATCATAATAGCCTTTCACCGACCACAACGTACGAACGGTAGAAAACACGGTTTTATTACCAAATAAAGGTGACAAACGAGCATACCACTTGGTGTGATGGTAAGTCGATGCTGCGGTCCATAGTCATCTACATCTATCCTCGAAAAATCATAAAACAGAATACGTCGTCACCGCTAAAGACTAAAACGGATAGCCTCATTTCCAGAAAAAAGGGTCTTCGTTTCTCTATACCTCCATACGAAACACAGCAGCATAAAGCTGATAATTCGCGCTGGTATTTTGTGAGATTTTTAGGATGGTATTGTGGCATAAAAGCTTTTTAATATGAGCGGTTTGAGGTTACCTTTTTGGCATGGTTTTCCTTCCCTGGTCGAGCGGACCCATTTGTGCTACAACCTTACCTTGCAACGTGGCCGTACCACGTGTAAAGAGCTATCTGCATCCATTGGCTCTCTGCATGTCTACCAGGTCGTCACTGTATCTCGTTGAGTGCCGCCACACACTTGGTTTACCGGTACGATGTAGGCATTTGAGAACCTCTCTTCCTCATCGGCTCTACTACATAGCCGATGCATTGGCATTTCAGTTTACTGATGCGTAGGGTTATGTCGGCTACAGTGGTTCAACTGCAGATGTCTTAATTACGAATTTCAACTAGCAGGGAATCTTCGTTCATAGCCTTCTCCATAACTCGCTGAGAAACCTTACTCATACGACTATCAGTCCAGATCTATATGTAATCACTAGTCCACAGTTTTGTTTGCTTACTCTTGTTTTCAGATTTAAAGGAAGTGTAGTTAGTTTTAAACATAGACAAAACTTACCTGTGCGGTAGCTTGCTGTGCGGCTTGTACGGCTGCGTTGACAGTACCCTGTTGCTGGTGTACAGCTGCTGTGTTCTCAGCGACCACGGCCTCGGCCTCCTTCACTTCCTGCTGCAATTGCTCTACTACCGCTTGCTTGCCAGCGAGCGCTGCTTCAGCGGCTTTTGCGGCTTGCAATGCTTTTTCTGCTAGTTGAGTTTTTACCTGGATCGGAGCACAGTTCGAGTCAAGAAACTCAATTGATGAAACAAAAAATCACAGAAATTACTTAAAAATAATTTAACAATTGACTTGTTGTTGGCAAGCGCAATTCTTTATATGTTAATTAGGAACAGGCTGCTACTAAGTTCCCAATCCTACCGGATTACCCGGGAGACTCCGGTAATAATGGTTTTTTGACATATCACACAGAAATTTTGTCAGAAACAAAAACAGAAAACTTTTTTATTCAATGTAAATTATAAACAATACTTATTGAAAATCACTTTTTTATTTACAACTGGTTCGCAAAAAAACCTCTGTCCTGGAAAGAACCAGCAAGAAACCCAGCGGAACTATTTTTTTTTCAAATAATAGCTTACAATCATGTTTACAATTAACAACACAAGACAAATTAGAAATAGCTTGGTAGCGATCACCCTTCCCAGGGTTTATTATCATCCATAAATTCCTTAATAATAACCCTTTTTATACAAACTTAGTTTAATAAAATTTTTGAACTTTGCGTATGTGTGTAAATTTTGTATATTTTCTGGGATTTTGTTGTAAAAGCGTTATATATCGCGCCGCGAATGATATACTGACTCGGTGGAGTCGAGTAACTGGTACCACTAGCTTGTGTATCTATATAACAATTCAAGTTTATTGCAAGAGATTGCCATTATTTAGAAAATGTACTAACCATGTGAGCCGCCTGGGCTCCAGCAGCATTTTGTGCTGCATGTGCAGCCTTCGCTTCGGCAGCCGCATTCTGAGCTATACTCGTTGCACACTTCCCTTTGCAATCCCTTGGCGCTTCCCGAACTTTGTTCTCCTTCCTGTCCTGAATATGTGACGTCAGCTTCCGCAAATCATCATTCTGTGTGGCTCTTCTCTCCGGGAAACCTAACACTGACACAAACGTCAGAAGCAAACACACCAAAATTCTCATTGAAAGGTTTTAAAATACAATTTTTCGTAAGCTAACAAACATTAATTATCCTAAAGTTGTAATTTTTATTCATAAATATTTAGTTTTACATGAAACGTGAAAAAATACGAATAGATTATTTTGCCAGATGAACAAATCACTATCGGAGAGTTTGGCAGTTTGACATTGATTAATTATTGTTCTAAATTGAAAAAGAGATTTCTAGCAAAGATTTTATGACGACAAAAAGAGTGAATTTTAAAAGTTTATTTACATAACATAAAAATATAATACAATGTTTAGCCTGGTGTGACCCGACTATAAAGTCGGGTCACACTAGGCTGGCAGAACATAAGTTCTAAATACAACTGTCATAGTTAATGAAATATTAAAATAAATTAAAAAAATATCATGCAATCCTACGCCCCGCAGTATAGTGCCAAGAATGCTAGCTATGTTTTCTTGTTGAACGGCTTTATTTGGTCTGACACGGATTCTGAAACTCGGGACCATATGAACAGGATTATACCAACGAGACGGTCATACTTATATTATAAAGAAAGGCCAAAAAGTTTATTTATCACTGCTTGATTCCAATGCTTATTAAACCTCTTTTAGTAAACTTTTACTAACTCTACGAAGAAAGAATAAATTCATTCAAATTTGACAATCTCAAGAACTGTCAGTATGGGTTGGATGAGGTAAAATTCTTAAAGTCGTAAAATTTTGGATTTCCTCGAAATTATGCATCAAGTGGTATAATAACTAATGCGTTAATACGCGTTTTTGATTCCTTTTGTATTTTTACGAGGCGAAAACTACATATATGTAAGTAAAAACTCTTTGTATTTTTTCCTGTATAATTTTCCAACATTTCTAAAATTTTAATTATTGCTAGAATTTATTCTTAAATAAAAGATACTTTAGAGTTACTTTTAAATTAAATCAACACTCACATAATCTTTAAATTTCTTTTATCGTATTGGAGGAATGCTTAACTAACACTTCCTAGACCAATAGCATCCATAGTTCGCCACTACTAAAATTCACTTAGCTTCACTATACAAAATCGCTCATAATTTTTAATTTTCTAAATTGCTACAATCTACGAAAACTGACAATTATCAGAAAATTAAGTAACTTTTCATTACCAATTTGTTTGAAAAAAAATTCTAGCATTATGGGACTTAAAAAATCTACGTCAATTAAATAAATACTTAAAGTTATTCTTTCTTTCACTATATTACGACCTTGAAAAGTGACAGAATATATAAATATAAACACTCACGCCTGTCACTCAGAGGGGTAGGCAGAGACCACAGACTTCCACTTGGCACGATCCTGACTCACCTCTCTCGCCTCCTTCACATCCATATACCTACGCATACATGCTCGTCGGTTAAGGGTACTCCTATTTTGGCCCGTTTTCAATAAATCGCCTATTTGATAGATAAATTTTCACCTAGAACGTCCCTTTCCGACTCTGCCATTCACTTCTGCAACATAAATTTTCTTTGTCACTCTTTCCTCATTCATTATTTGCACATGACCAAACCACCGAAGCATTCCCTTCTTAATCCTGGTCACCGCATCATCTTGTAAACCACACTCTTCTTTTATCACACAGTTTCTCACCCTGTCACTCAGATTCAGCCCTAATATACTCCTTAACGACCGCATTTCTACTGCGTTCATTCTACTCTCGTGCTTTTTCTGCCACCCCCAACTTTCACTACCATACGTTAAAGTGACAGATATAGAGTTTTTTTATGGGATAAAAATAACACAAGCACACAGTCCACTTGATGGTGATTCAATGCTGTGGCTCATGGACATCGACATCTGTCCTCGTTTAAATATTCATAATGCGGATGCGTTGTCATCCCATGACTGAGATGGAATGCCTCGTTTCCAGTAAATAAGGTCTCAACGTCTCTACACTCACGAAACACGGACATTAATCTACTAGCAACTTTGTGTAAGCTATGAGTTTTGTATACATTAAGCTACTATTTCACGCTGGTATTTTGTGAGAGCGTGGTGCTTCCCTCGTATAGTCGTTTGCGCTATAATCATAATATAGCTGTAGCATGGCTCCGTTGAAAATAATATAAGTTAATACTTACTTTAATTAAGCATTAATCAACGAGTATATATAAAGCAGTAAATTATCAATGCCAACCTTTCAATAAGATTATCTCCCGTTGAAATTCTTAGCTTTCTCACAGACATTATATATAATAATATATGGACACAATTTTTTTTCAGAAATTTTTGTTTAAAGTCAAATTAAAACCAATCAAAGTGGCTTACAGTCGTCTCGGACGCGCTTGAAACATGATTTGCATTTCTCTGTACGCCTTGATCGCCTCTGCCACGATTCTCGCGTGCGTGCCCGTCTGCTGCCGACAGTTTGAGATGAACAAGTTCATCAAGTGTCTGAAGAAATAGGTGAAACTCGACATGATCATTTGCGTCTCCTGTATGACTGCTATGGTTGCCGTTGGCTGCATCTCCTGCGTTCCCATTATTTTGGATAATTACTGGAGTTACGTGAAGAGCAAGAGAAATGTAGAAGGTTCGCAGTGTAAAAATCCTTGTTGCCCAAAACGGTCAAAATCAAATTGCTAATATACTGTAGCCTCAACATGTGAGCAGTTATAATAAAGTATTTGAAACTATAACTTCTTTTTGTAATAATAATAAGTATTGCCGATCGCAAAACAAATATTCGTACATATGAATAGTTTCACGTCTGTAATCTTCAAAGACGTAAGCAGAGCTCAAAGAGTAACGAACTAGACGGACCATGTTTAGCTTAAAAAACATGGGCTTAGACCTTAGATGGAAAAACGTGAGAGAAGAAACGGCCAAATACTCAAATGCTACTTAATTTTAAGACGTTAATGCCTATGTACTCCAACGCCACTCAATTTTAAGATAGAAGTCTCATGCTGTCTCTATCATTTTAAGGCAGTGACTGTGACACCAAGAGACTTTCATCTTAAATTTGAGCCATAATGTCACAATTACACTTGGTCGTGTGCCCGTATTCGATTGCCTATGGAATTCGGACAAACGACTAAGTGTAAATGAGTCGAGTATGCCCGCCTTCGTTTTGGTTACCCGAATCAAGATACTCGACGCGGTTTTGGCGGATGTCTGGCGTACGCAGACACGTACCTCACCGTACGCGGGCGCAGAGTCGTTTGCCCGTATTCAAGAAAACAGAATATAATGTAAATAATGCTCGGGTGCCCGAATTCGAGTACCGTCTTTCGTGCACCCGAAGCGAGCTAACGACCAAGTGTAATTGCGCCCTTAGTCTCGTGGTGTCACAGTCACTTTGACTTAAAATTATAGAGACAGCACGAGACTTAACGCCACCTTAGAATTGAACAGTGTTTGAGTTGAGCAACGTGTGAGTGTTTGGACATAATACCATCGACTACATAATTACATACTTAATACCTCATTAGGTCACCCTTTACGACATGCTAGGTAAGTAACTGAGTTAACACATTTTTTGTTATCCCATATATACATGGGACTTGTAAGTCCGAGGCCAACATCATCATCATCATCATCATTACAGCCCTTCACAAGTCCACTGCTGAACACAGGCCTCCCCCAAGTAATGCCACAAAGCACGGTCCTGAGCCACCTGCATCCATCGACTTCCTGCATGTCTTACCAGGTCGTCACTCCATCTAGTGGGGGGTCGCCCTACACTACGCCTACCGGTACGAGGCTGCCACTCGAGAACCTTTCTTCCCCATCGGTTATCGGTTCTTCGAGCTATATGGCCGGCCCATTGCCACTTCAGCTTACTAATCCGTTGGGCCAGCAGTGAAGGACCACGTCTCAGATCCGTAAGTCATCACTGGCAACACGCACTGGTTGTACAATCTAGTTTTTAGAGATTGAGGTATACCTGACGAAAAGATATGCCGTAATTTCCCCGAACGCTGCCCAGCCGAGTTGAATCCGTCGATTGACCTCTCGGTCGAAGTTGGACTTACCTAGTCGGACTATTTGTCGCAGGTAAACGTATTCGTCAACAACTTCGAGCATAGTGCTCCCAACAACTACCGGCATAGGTGTGACATGGACATTGAACATGATCTTTGTTTTGTCCATGTTCATCTTAAGACCTACCCGTTGGGAGGCACTATTGAGGTCATTGAGCATAGTGCTTAAGTCCTCCAGCGATTCTGCCATAAGGACTATATCGTCGGCAAATCGAAGGTGAGTGATGTACTCGCCATTGATGTCAATACCGTATCCTTTCCAGTCCAGTAGCTTGAAAACGTCTTCCAATGCAGCGGTGAAGAGTTTCGGGGATATAACGTCACCCTGTCTTACACCTCTCTGCAGTTGGATAGGTTTCGAGCTCTGTTTCTGTACTCGGATAGCCATCGTAGCCCTACTGTACAAACACTTCAGCACTTCGATATACCGACAGTCAACTTGGCACCGCTGAAGGGACTGTAGCACCGCCCAAATTTCGACGGAATCAAAGGCTTTCTCATAGTCCACATACGCCAGGCAAAGTGGCAGATTGTACTCTTCAGTCTTCTGTACAATCTGCCGCAGGGTATGTATGTGGTCTATGGTACTGAAGCCTTTTCGGAAACCGGCTTGTTCGGGAGGCTGGAAGTCGTCAAGTCTGCGTGCGAGACGATTCGTAATGACTCTCGAAAACAGCACGTAGACGCGGCTCAGAAGGGAAATCGGTCTGTAGTTCTTTAAGAGAGCGTTGTCGCCTTTCTTAAAGAACAAGACCACCGCACTTCTGCTCCACGCCTCTGGAGTAGTGCCACCATGGAGGACGGAATTGAAGAGCTTCTGAAGGACTTCAAGTACCGGTGTTCCACCCGCTTTCAGAAGCTCCGCTGTAATTCCATCCTCGCCTGGGGCCCTGCCGTTTTTAAGGTGCTGGAGAGCCATTCTAATCTCGCTTAGACTGACGTCCGGAATATCATCGGAATAGTGTCGGATAAGACTTGCTCTTGGATCGT